ACCTCGCAGTATGGTCCTCGGATATTGGCGCAGTGTACTAGGTCCTCAGCGACAGGCTCACGGAGTGGAACGATTTTAAGACACACGGTTCTAGGACTGGAGTTTTTTTGTGGAGCCACACATACTGTACCAAACACGCGGAAATCCTATCCACCAGTGATACCCCGGGTTATTTAGGGACTGTTTGGATGCGACCGTTCTGTTCTGTATTGCTATACAAAATTGCCCTTATAAGTGCTAGGGATAATGTTTTCGCACGGTTAATTCAGCTTAACCCGCAAAATAATCCCTGTCTTGTACGAAAACATCTCCCCTGGCACTTGCATAACGGAAGGGTATCATGACAGTGTTTTTTTTATTAAATTTTGAAAACAGTACGGAAAGGTCGTATCCAGGCAGGCCCTTGGATTGCCTGAGACGTACGACTCGAGTAGGGTAACCTGGTCGACGAAGCAGCGGGGTAAAGGGGGGCATGACACTGACCCTTGGCAATCCCAGGTGGAGCACGGTGCTACCGCACTTGTTGGCTGAAGTGCTTGAATGAACTCGATTCAGCACCCTGGGTGTACCGTGTCTAGGCTATCGAGTATCTATATTCGAATGCTTTTGTTTTTCTGCCCAGATTACACTTGGGAGTTGTGATGAGGGGGAGTTGTGCCCTTGGGAACAAGTGCTTCTGAACTGCAGGTGAGGGGAGGGGGGGTAAATGAGACTCGTTGCTAACTGGGCTGATCGATGAGTAATCGGTTGAGATTTTACGAGAGTAACCCTAGAGGTAGCTCTCGAGCTAGTTATAATCTTTGTTTCTTTTTCAAGGTCTCTGAGGGTATCAAATCGAGAAGATGGCGCATTTATTTTCGGTTTTCCATCCACCTTGCTTTTTGAGTGCCTCTTGCACAAGGCTTAGCTGTCAGCTTGCAAAGACTGACTCCCGTGGGCAGCGGGGCTCGGATATCGGTACCCCCACTGGGCTGGCCCCCCCAATGGGAGCGCTCACAACCTAGCTAATAGTATTAAAACTCTCTTGATAGGTATTCGAACAATGCACAGCAGAAGGGGATGAAGTGGCAGGGTTTATCAACATTCGATGATCTCCCTCTACAAGTAGCAACCGTACCTCCTCCCTCTGCTTCCTGACTTCCTTCAGTACTTGGAGTATCACCCGAAAAAAACCACCAGGAGAGAAATCAAGGAGAGAAATCAGGGAAACGAAGAAAAGAAAAAAAATATGGATCAGTACGATCCACACCAGCCTCCAAGAGATACACCTGAAATAACCCCCTTCGCACCCGCGAATACTAGCGTTGGGCCTACCGAGAATTTACTGCGATTAAGGACGATAACTGACGATTCACCTGGCGATACTAAAGTTGAAAGAGTTTTTAGTGATACAAGGTCAGTTGCTTCAACAAGGACGAATGCTTCGAATGCCTCTCGACTCCGGGAACGGATTCGCAGGGATCTGTCATGGGGGACAAAGTTGCACTGGTTCCTTCCGAGTGCGATGGTAGGACTATTCATCCTGGGGCTGTTGGGATCTTTGCTGCATCACTGGTTCTACCTTTCTTTGGATGGAAAGGGTGCGAAGGATCAATTGATAATGGTTCGGTTTGGGACGGCGTTTGCATTCTTCACGAAGGCTGCTTTAGTTGGGAGTATCGTTCTTGCGTATAGGTTTGTGGAGTCGCGGTGATGGTGGTAATGATAGATTGTGATGCTGATAGCTATAGACAACGGGTCTGGTACACGCTGAGAACCAAGGCTATTTCAGTAAAGGGGATCGATAATTTGTTTGCACTGACGGAGGACCCTACATGCTTCTATTCCAAGGATGTTGCATTCAGAGCGAGAGTTGCGACAGCCATGGCACTGGCAACATGGTTAGTCTTAGAGTTTTCACCTACTGCTATCTAAAAGGGATCATCGCTGAGAATAATTCTAGGATTATACCCCTCGCCGCTGTCTTGTCCCCCGGTGCGCTCACGGCACAACCAACATATGTGACATCGGATAGTGAATGCACTGTACGATCTTTAAACACCTCCGCGCAAAATGATGCCGTTCAGGATAGACCCAAATCCGGGGTCGGGGGGTACGATCTAGTAACTTTCAATATCTCTGAGGCTGTAGGTGCACCGCGGTACTTCGGTGATATCGGCTACATGTTGTCTCAAGTATCCGCGTTCACATTCTATTCAAGAAAACCTATTCCAATCCACTCCCCTTGTGAAGGGTATAACTGTACCTGGAACATCGGTTTCGATGCGCCATGGTATGAATGTGAGGAGAAAAGCGTCGATGAGGCAAGGGAGGCGCTAGCGACTATGCAGTGGAACGATATCGATACCGGCCCTTGGGCACCCCGGGGCGTCATGACCTTGAGTGTCATATCCGACGGATCTGATTATGAACCCAACCAGCCACTCTATAAGAACGGCACAGACAACATGCAGGGCTATTTCGAGGACGAGCCGACCATACGAGTCGGGTACCTCGTCGACACACACATCCCCGTGGCGGAAGGATCCGTAGTGTCGCGCAACGGCACCTGGAACGGCACCTGGAAAACCGTTTTCGAACCTCACTGGTTAAGTTGCGATCTGTTCAAGGCGTACTGGAATGTAACCCTCAACTTCACCAACGAGGCCCAATCCGCCACAACCAAAGCGTCGAATAAAAGGCGGGTATTTGAAAAACCAAAAATGGGCCCCTTGCATCCAAACTATAAAGAGAACGCACTGTACTACGCTTTTGGGAAAATGATCCGGGATAGACTCAACAACGGCAACGGCTTTAAGAACGGCTCCGACGACATAATGCGATACTCAGCCTTCCACCCTCTACTCAACGAGACCACCCGCCTGGCAATAGATGACGTCAAAGGTGGAGTAGAAAAGATCGTCACGGATCTGGGCCTAACACTCCTCAGCATTAAAGACCTCGAGATCGCCTTGGAGGCAAAAGCCCCGTGCGAGAGATGGCGCTACGAGAATCGCTTCCACTACTCTCGTCAAGGCCTCTGGATTGGATACACTCTCAGTGTCATTGCGGCTCTGGCATCTGTACTCGTCGGCATGCACTCTATTTACATGAACGGCATTACCTCCGATACCCTGTTTTCGAAGATTCTCGTGACCACGAGGAATCCGACACTAGATAAGCTGGTCAAAGATCACGAGGGGGTTTGTCTCGGCGGTGATCCGTTCCCCGAGAAACTGGAGAAGACGGAGTTGATTTTTGCAATTATTGATCAGACGGATGGGGCGACGCATACGGCTTTTGGAACTGTCGGCGAGACGACCCCCATGCTTGGCTCTGTGGAGTATAGGCGTTTGCTAAATCCTGGGCGGGGGCAGGAGGCCACGAGCGCATAGGGCTGGGTAATATAGGGGTGAGAGCTTGTATTATATAGGATTGCGTATTCTGGGTTGGCATGAGACTGGCTGTGGCAAAGAGGGCGTTGTGTTTTATCTTTATTCCTTTGATTTTTTTTTCTCTGATTTTGTCTTCTCTTCCTTGTGATGCGAGGGCCGACGGACTAGCTATGACTTTTCACTTCTGAATGGGATTGTTTGGAGCTAGGATGTGTCACAGATTTCCTCCTTTTGATTACACTATTATTTTGAGGGTTGCCGATATGGCCGCTCGCAAAGAATATTAGCCCTGGGAACACTTAAAGGAATATCTAGTGTGGTTTATCATGCGGCTTTGATGTAGCGAGCCGGGGAATAACTCTAAGTGTTCTCTGCTCCTAATAGAGGGGTTTAGCCAACCG